TCCTGCACCCCGTGCCAGCGGCAGCTGCTGGGGGAAGCTCAGTGACCTCTACAAATCCTCAACTCTCCTTCCAGGCCTCCACAGGGAAATCAACTCCTGGCCCACGGAGACAGGCCTCTCGCCGTGTGGAGAGGGAAACCCAGACTGAGGCACAAGAGGCGGATTCAGCTGTTCAATACGCTGAGCAGGAGACACAGACAGATACTACAGCAGAAGAGGAGAGAAATTCAGCTGCTTCCCTCATGGCTGACTGGCAGACAAAGATTGAGACTCCAACAAAAGAGAAATCAGCTTCTCCTCAAATCGCTGACAAGGGGACGCAGACCAAGGCCCACAGCTCTGCCCTCTCCGCAGGCACTGATGCCCCGGCTCACCAGCAGCCACCCTCCGTGTCGGGCAGGGCATTCTGGCGCTCCTGCATGGCTGGACAGCCTGGTGGTGCCAGTGCCCTGCAGGATGCCAGGGCCGGCCGCTGCTCCCGGCAGCCACCACGTCCTGAGCACGGCACACCCGAGAAGTGGGGATGGACGGCACTGCCGCCCTACTGTTGGCCATGGCTCATTGAGATGAACCAGTTTTAATAAAATATTTCGTTTCTCTCCTCGTGCTCACCTGTGCCTGGTCCATCAGGAGAAAGCTGGCTGCAGGTAAGGCCTGTGCAGAGCAGGAGAGCCCCTGTGCTCCTCCGGCCAAGCACAGCCCCTGCCCTCAGCCTCTGCCAGGCTTCAGGTGCTCCTGGTTCACATCCCTGGGCTGCTGTTGGCGCCCAGCTGAACCCTGTCAGCTCCCTCCCACCCACCTGCTTCCAATTGAACATTTCAGATCATCAATTTGGTGAGTTTTCCCTAAGGCTGCACTTCCTTAGGCTCACGAGGAGCGTCCCCAGTGCAGGGGTAGGAGTGCCTCTCCCCTTTTCTTAAGACCTGCCTTGACTGCTCCTGTACCACTTTGGTACAGGTACTTCCTGCTGCCCTTTCTAAGGAAACAACAAAATACAGCAGTGCCCTGAGCTCCCTCTGCTCCCACAGCAGTGAGTAAAGCCAGCCAGGGACCAGCTGCCCCATGGACGGGCTGGGGCGGTGCTGGGACCAGACAGGGCTACCCCGACATCTGTGTTTGGGGATGGCTGGGCTTGGCTGCAGAGTTCCCAGCACCAGCGTCGGGCAGGAAGCTGGGAGGAGCAGTGGAGTCTCCCTGTTTTCCCAGCTGTGCAGACACATGGGCCCTGCAGGTCCCACAGGCCACTTCCCCTCTCCCTTCCCTGAGCCACTGACTCAGTCTGACAAGCACAGAAATCTGCCTGGACACGAAAAAAAAGAGGCAGGAGCCAGGGAGCCTGATGCAGGTTTTTTCTGTACATCAGTGTTTTTGACACCACAGCCTGTTGCTGCATATAATAAAACAGAAATCAGAAAGAGCAACCAGAATACACACCCAAAGGCAAAAAAACCCTTGGCTTAAAGAAGGTGCTGCCGGGCCCCCGGGGGAAGGCTGGCAGCGGGGCTCCAAGGGGGGAAACGCCTGCCCTGGCTGGGGAGAAACACAACACAAAGAAAAAAACGAACCAACAAAAAAAACTCACCCAAGGCTCCCGCTGCGGAGCGGGGAGAGCCAGAAATCCCCCGATTGTCCCGACCTCAGTCCTGTTAGCACCTGTACAATAAAACTGTACCGGCCCCGAGGCAGAGCAGCCCGCCCGCACCCGCTCCCGGGACAGCGGCGGGGCAAGGGGCGGCTCCTGCCCTGGGGACAGAGCCTGGGGCGGGGCACAAGCTGCCGAAGCGGGGGACAGGGAGCAGCAGCACGAATGAGATGGAGGAAGGAGCACGGGAGAGGATGGAGCGGCGGGGCTGGCTCCCGGCTGGGGCTGAGCGCTGGCAGCGGGAGCCAACTCCAAAGCCCAGGGAAGGGACTGTCCCCTGCCTGGCTTGTTGCCGGGGAGGGACGGGAGCCCCTGGGCCGGGCTGGCCTCGGGGCACGCTGGAGAGGGGCGGGGGATGGCCTCATCCCACAGCCCGGAGCTCACCATCACAGTGATACAGACTCAGCAAAAAAAAAAAAAAAAAAAAAAAAAAAAAAAAAAAAAAAAAAAAAAAGAAAACATTACAAATTAAATACTAATTAAATAAATACTATGGAAGACATCGGGACGGGGAGGGCGAACGGAGAGGCGCAGTTCCGTGGGGTCCGGTGGGGAGGGGCGGCGGTTCCCACCCCTCGCTGCCCCATTGAGCCCCCGTTGAGTGCAGGGGCTTCCATCACCACCGGAGCTGCATGAGGCGGCAGCGACCGCCACTGCTCGTGGCCGGGGGACCTCGGGAAGTCCTTGGAGGCGAGGATCCTCCCTCCCCAGCTGGCGGAGACCCTGAGGAGAGGAGGAGCGGCTGCTCAAAGGCTGGGGCCCCTGCTGCTGGCGCTGAGAGAGCTGCTTCCCCTTGGTCCTTATTATTGCCTCGTGATGCCGGGAGTGGCCCGTCCCCGTCAGCTGCTCCACGCCTGGTACTCCACGGCCGAGCCCAGCAGCTGCAGCAGCTCGGGCTCGTAGTGCACCAGCTCCACAGTCTCTGCCGTGCCCGGTGCCAGCTCGGGGCTGGCCGGCACCTCCTCCTGTGCCAGCACCTGGCTGAGGGACACCTGGCGCTGGAACTCTGCCCGGGGCAGCGTGGCCACCTCGAAGTGCGGGAAGCGAGCCTGGAATATGCGTGAGGACAGCTTCAGGCGCTTGAGCACATCCGAGAACAGGAACCAGTTGCAGGGCCTGCGGGGATGGCAAGAGCACGGTGGTTATAGGGCTGGAGGGGGCTGAGGGCACGGTGCCCACCCCCCCTGCCCTCCTGGCACGCTGGCCCTCCCCTCTGGCCCTGGCACTGCTCTCCATGTGCTGCTTCCCCTCAGGAGCCCGCGGACCGCGTTTGATCATGGCCTCACAGGTAGCAGCTTTTTAAAACACTCACAGCCAGGCAGGGACAGAGGCGTGAAAGTCCTGCCTTCAACAAGGTCCTGGCAGCTTCCCTGCCAGGAATAAGCCACATGGTCAGGAAATGGAGCTTCTGTGTGGTTTATTGCTGGAGGGCAGGCTGCATGTGTCCCTCTGCATGGACAAACCCTGGCAGGCACGGAAATCTGATGCACAGAAAAGCAGTGCTTTGGTTGCTGCCTCTTCCAAGTCCCCCTTCTGCCCCAGCAGCAGCCCCTGTGTCACAGGGGTGCAGGTGGCAGTGCTGTTCCAGCGCTGGGACTGATTTAGCCATGATGGAAAGGAAACAATTTCAGAGCCATCAGTGTGAGCTGCTGCTGAAGGAACATGGGGCTAGAAGCAGGATCACAAGGATGACAGAAGGGAGTTTCCTGACACAGGTACACAGGGACACTCAGGGCAGCAGGATGTGCCTGGCCTTGGAGGGTGGGGGGAGCCCTGAATAGCCTTCCCTGCTTCCTGAGAACATTCCAGGCTGTCCCAAGCTAGGCACTGCTTCCCCAACTTCCCTCTGCTGCCCAGAGCAGCTGTGGCTGCCCCATCCCTGGCAGTGCCCAAGGCCAGCCTGGATAAGGCTTGGAGCACCCTGGTCTAATGGAAGGGCATGGAGGGTGGAATGGGATGAGCTGTAAGGCCCTTCCCAACCCAAACCCTTCTGGGAATCTGTGATGATTCTATGAAAAAAAAACCACCTGTGATACACGAGCAGCTCTTAAACCCCACTGAAACAACCAACAGCCCGTGGTGCTGCTCTGTGCTGCAGGAAAGGCACTCACCCCCGGGACACGGACACTTGGAGGTTGTAGCTGGGGAGCAGCGGCTTGTCTGAGAACTCAAACATGAAGTTATCTGCTTCTTGTTCCTCTTCCTCCTGGTCTGAGCTCCCTGGAGGGTTGAGCAGCAGGTCGCAGCCGATGCTGTCCTTCCCCTCTGCAACAGGACAGAGGTTGGCACTGCTCAGTCACACACCAGCCCGTGCTGGCACTCCCTGGCCACTGCCACGACCCCACGGGCACCTTCCCACAACATTCCTGCAGCCATGTGACAACTGCATCCCTCCTCCAGCCCCTCGTGCCAGAGGAACATGGAGCAATCTCTGCCAGCCTGCACCATGAGCTGCCCCAATGGCAGACCCCAGACTCTCACCAAAATGACCTTGGCCCCTCTCCCCTGCCAGCACAGACCTCCTCAGCCTGGAAGAGCCTGGAACAGCGAGGTGGGAGGTGGATGACAGAGGCTTTGCCTTGCACAGGCCCTACCAAGGAAGGCGCAGCGAGCACTCTGCTCCTCAAGAGCTTCTCCACCCAGATCCCACCCTCTGACTCCAGCAGGTGAGCCAGGGGAGCCAGCACCCACCCCAGTGAGGACAGCAAGGCTGCGTCACCAGAGACTAATCCAACCGTGCAAGAAGCAAGAGGGGAAAGTGAAGGTGGATATACAGAAGTTCTTCCCTGTGAGAGTGGGGAGGCCCTGGCACAGGGCTCAGAGCAGCTGTGGCTGCCCCATCCCTGGAAGTGTCCAAGGCCAGGCTGGACAGGGCTTGGAGCAACCTGGGATAATGGAAAGTGTCCCTGCCCATGGTAGAAGAGTGGAATAAGATGAGCTTTAAAGTCCCTTCCAACTCAAACCAGTGCATGATTCTATGACTTAGAGAATTTGCCTGGATGTTCCAGGAGGTATCTGAGCTCCAGCAGGAGCTCATCCAGAGGGGATGGAAAACAGCAGGCTGGATCCAAAACCATTTAAAACTAGGTAATTTTCCCTATTTACCAATCTGAAAAGATCCTGTTGAAGAAAAGCTTGCTGCCTGGATTTTATTATGAAGAGGTGTGAATATCTTAAGTTTGCAGAGTGGTGTTTTCCCACTGAGGTAATACAGAAGAACTCTAAAAACTTCCAGATAAGAGAGTTTAGATTCTACAGCAAGCAGCGAGACCCAATGTGCCCCTGAGCAAATAAACCAATCATGCAAAAGTTCAACCCCACGCACAAGAGAAAAGGCTGAAAAGAAAAAAATCTTCTGGTGTGCTGCACGGGGAAGCTTCACACACCCAGCTGCTCACCCAGCACGAGTGAGATTCCAACTGAAGAACAACAGCAGATGACAGGAGACACTGGCTCAGGCAGGGTCTTGGGGAAAAAACAGTTATTTCCTAGTGCTGCCAAGGGAAAAAATTCCCTAAGAAACAGAGTGCTGAAATCGTCCAAACTTGCTGTACAATAGGACAAAAATAAGTGACGTGGTTATTGATCCAATAGTGCTGCTGGCAAAGCTCAGATGCCATCACTGAAAAACCTCAGATTTCCTGAGCAACTCAGAAAAAAATAATTAAATGCATTTAAAGTGGCAAAAATAGGGCTTGCTGTCTGTCCTGAAAGCTCGGTCCTGTCTGTCTGCCCTGCAAAGGCTGGGACAAGGACAGGAACATTCTGTACCCCCGGGGGAGACAATCAGGCACAACAATGCCTGTCCCAGGTGGAGACAAACCCTGGACTGGGACTCTGTGTCTGGAGCTCCAGCAGCACCAAGCGCAGGACACTGATGACTTTTCCACACCTCAGAGATCCCACACCCTGGCTTCCTTCATTACCCTTCTGCCCCCAGAGAGTTGCAGACCTCAAGGAAAACGTGGACAGCATTCCTGCCTCAAAGAACAGGAACAGCTCAAGCAGGGCCTGGGATTTCTCCTGTATCCTGAGGGACGTACAGTGCTTCAGCTGGTGGAGCTGATGGAAAGGGAGATTTCAAAGGACTGACCCACTGGAGGAGGAGAGTTGTTTGCTGCCTGGGATGATTGAGAGCAGCTCAGTTATTCCAGAGCAGAAGCAGGTACTTCCCTGCCCTGGGCTGTACCTGTGCCAGGTGACCCCAGGTGACTGCTCAGATACCTGAGCCAGAAAGGGACATTTCAGGACACACAGTGAACAGGTTGTAAAGAAACCAGCCCACTTCCCAGGCTTGGGCATCCTGCTTTTCCTGCAGCTCTGGCAGTGTCCAGCAGCAGTGCCTGGCACAGCACAGGTGACGTGGGGCCGGCACTGCAGCTGCTGCTGTAAACTGATCCCAGGAGGATGGGGAGGAGGGTCCCTTCCCCTTCCTGTGCCTGCTGGGCAGGGCAAGGCATCACTTCCCAGCTGGGTTAGCTCCTGCCTTGCCAGGCAGCCTCCCAAAGGCAGCATTAGGAAAGCCCTGTGGATGGGGCAGCAGGGAATCAGTGATAAATCAAAAGGGAGAGTATCTTAAAAAATATCTTTAAAAATAAATTAAAAGAGCGGCTATTTGTCTTTGTAAAGGTTGTGACAGCTTTGAGAGTGAGAAATTCTGAGGAAGGAGGCTGAGGTTTGAACTGTTCCCTTGGCAGGGCTGAGGGAAGCAGCCTGCAAAACAGCACTCTCAGGAGTGCAGAATTTCTCCTGTTCTGGAATGGAAAGACATCAGGGTCCTCCAAGGACAAGTCCTCTACCCAGAGCACCTCCTGAATGTATCAGATTTGGTTTTGTTTCTAGAAGGATGTTGGAAGTTATGGAGGTGAGCAATCAGCAAGCAGCCTCAGCCTGCCAGTGTAAATGCTCCAAGTCCTGATGGAGGCTCGGGAGTGCTGAACTTGGAAGAGGCTGGAGGGACTCCAGTGTGCCACAAGCCCATGTCAGATCCAGGACATCTTCACTGTAACCACAGTTTTGAGGAAGTGACAATAAGGGCAGAAGTCAGCCCTTTCACTGTAAAAAATGCCTTGTGTTGTAAGAACAGGAGCTCCCCTGGATGAACAGGGTTAGCAGGGGTGCAACAAGAACTGCTCCAAGAACGACATGTTTGGGATCGACAACCAAAGACCCTCAGGAATCACCAGCAGCACCCAGTCCTGCACTCAAAGGGATGCACATTCAGCTTCCCAAGGAAGTCCCTGCCAGGAGCAACTCCCAGCATGTATCAGCAGGGCAAGGTCTCTACCCAAAGTGTGAGTAGAGAGGGACGTGGCCAACCCCAGGGAATGATGTTTTACACAGCATCACCTCCTGCTCTGCACTCACCGAGCACGGAGCTGCTGTAGAAATCCCAGGCTGTCCGAGGGTCCCCATCACTGCGGCCCTGCAGGTCTGACAGGTAATCTAGAGGGGGGAAATCGAGAGGGTTAATCCTCAAAGCATCATCCCAGTGTGCACATCCACAGACCCAGGGGAGCTGCTTCATCCCTGCTGCTTTTTGCTTTTTTACAGCAAAAGCTGAACCACGGCTGCAGGAGGGGAGTCCCTGCTCAGGGGTGGGCACCACCCCAGGCCCCCAGCCAGGAAATGGGAGCTGAAAAGGGAAATCAATATACAGTGTGAAGTGGCTTGGAAAGAAAGATTTGTAGAGCAGACCTAAGTTCCAAACCACCATCCCCAAAACCTGTGTGAGTAGTTGAGCCTGGAGGAGCTCACACAGGCAGTGGGCAAACAGAGGTTTTTGAACACTGGGGATTTTCTGTCTTGTCTCTGTCTGGGAGCCACCTCTGGCTGTCCCTTCCTTGCTGTTGTGGAGAATCCACAACACTCGTCGTGCATGTGCACAAATGGGATCCAAAAGGGCCCTTTCTGCCAGCAGCAGCATTTGGGCAGGGCTCTTTTGCCATGGAGGCAGCATTATTTGGCAACAAAAATCTGTTCCCTTAGGTTAAGCAGTAGAAGCAGGGACCGTGGAGCACCATTTCCAAGCAGAGCACTGTCTTCAGTCGTGTGACCACAGCACAGCCATCTCCTTGCAAACTGAACACTGAAAAGTGACCTGTATCTTATACAGGAAACATACAATTCTATAATTAAAGTTTGGGTGGTAAAAACATGCTTATGTGACAGGACACAGCTAAAAACGGAGCCATTTTCTGCTCAGGCCCTTTGACACCCAGATTTGGCCCTGTCTGCTGCCAGAAGGGAATGTCTGGAGCACTGTGACCCCCGGCCCGGCACCTACCACAGAGGAAGCGCTTCATCACATCGCTGGTGGCCAGCTTCACTGCTGTCTGCCCAGAGTATGTGGCCAGAGTGGGATCAGCACCATAGGAAAGGAGAAGCCACATGGTTTCCAGGTTGTCATTCGCTACTGCATCATGGATGGGCCTGCAAGGGCAGAAGCAGAAAGGGGCCGGGAGTTCGCTAAGGAAATGCCCTCTGGGTTCAGATCCCTTTAGTGATGACCCAGCTGAAGAACCCACGCTGCTGCCTGCCCCACGCTGCCCTGGCTCACCTGGTGCCGTCCTGGGCGCTGCAGTTGACGTTGGCGCCGTGCTGGAGCAGGATGTGCAGGATGTCGATCCAGCCGCGGGCGCACGCCTCGTGCAGGGCCGTGTACCCCGCGTTGTCGTGGTGGTTCACGTCGCTGCTCTTCTTCTGCAGGCAGTACAGCACCACGTCCTGCACAGACAGAGCGCGGCCGTGACGGCCAGCCCGGCTGCGTGCCGGGGCAGCCGCGGGAGGGAGGGCACGGCACTCACCTTGTAGCCCAGGCGAGCTGCTCGCTGCAGGAGCGTCTCCCCCGCGTTCTTGTTCACGATCAGCCGCCGAGCTCCGGGAGGAACGCTCTGCGCCGGGGGCAGCTCAGGGCAACTCCCCGGGCTGGCCCGATGGGACTTGCAAAGTGTCCACAAGTCCTGGGGCTTCTTCAGAGAGCACGTTTTGGGCTGGTTGCAGCAGACTTTCCCCTGGGAAAGAAAGGAACACAACTCCTTGGCACATGAGGCCAGGACTCATGGGAGTCCCCTTCTCCCCTCACCATTCCAGCCATACCTTCCCCTCGTCACAGATCCCTGACAGGTGTTTGGTTTTACATTTGCGTTTTCCTGATGGTTTCTCCAGCTCTTCTTGGACAGGAGAGCTGTCGGAGTGCTCCAGGAAGAAGCCATTCCGAAAGTCCGTGCGTCCTTGAGATTTCCGGGGGGATGGGGATAGCCTGCTCCTCAGCTGCAGCTCTGTGCCTTTGCCCTTCCCTGGCTCCTTCTGCTTCCGGTGCCTGCAGTCTAAAGGAGAAACGTGAATGAGGAGCTTCTGTAGGTACCACACTGAAGGTCACCCAGACCTCTGCCACCAGGCAAGACAAACTGCTCATCTCTGAGAGCTGCACAGAAATCAGAGCAGCCGTGGCTACACATCCCTGAGTGTCCAAGGCCATGTTGGATAGGGCTTGGAACACCTTGGGATAGTGGAAGGTGTCCCTGCCCATGGCAGGGGTGGAACTGGATGAGCTTTAATGTCTCTTCCAACCCAAACCATTCTGGGGTTCCGTGATTCTAAATCCAGCCCCAGGGGCGCTGCAGGAAGGAGAAGCAGAGAGAACACACAGATTCTCCCATCTGGGATGGACTCAGCATGGGACTCCCAAGGGAAGACAGGATTCATTGGGATATGTCTTAGAGAGGCAGGACGAGCAGGGGCTGTCTGTGAACACTCAGGGCTTGCTGCCTAAACATAACAGGCCCTGCCTTCCCCTCTCACATCTTCCCCTGAAGTTAAGGAGCACATTTAAGTTTTCATTAACATGCATCCAGTTAGGAAGCACCAGGATTTCTCAAGGAAAATCCAGCCTTGTCTTCCCTGAGTGGAGGAATCCTGCTCACCCAATCCTGCAGCACGAGACTTACAGGCACTCCTGAATAAGAGATCACTTAAAAAGAGACAGAGGAAAGGATTTTGCACAGCATGGAAAGAACTTCAGGACTCCACTGCCACTGGAGGTGGCTCCAGGCCACAACTTCTGAACCCAAACTACAGCAGGTCCCCTCCCTGTCTGAAGGCTGAGCAGTGTCTGAGGGACAGGCAGACAGAGACTCTTAACATATGCGGTAAAGCTGCTGGGCAAACCCTCCTGAATGCCACTGCACTCAAAAGCTCCTTCCAGGCTCCAGTTCTGAACAGGAGGCATCCTGAGAGTGCCCCTGAGTTGCCAAGAACCGGGAAGCCAACTTGAAACTTTGTTCCTGGTGTGACAGAGGCTGGCAGAGAGGGCAGGATAGTGTAGCTGTGCTGAGCAGGTACCAGCTGCTGGGAGGACAGCAGCCACCTCTGCTCCCCACAGCACCTCAGCAGCACCCGAGGAGGGCCAGTCTGAGCTCCAATGTGGCTAGAAGGCAACAGGGTCGTGGCCACTCCAAGAGCACGGCCCAAGCATGCCGAGGGCTGGCACAAGAGCTGACAAGTGACAGCTTTCCCCTCAAAGTCACCTGTGTGACTCTGGACATGGCTACGAGCCACAGGCAAGGGCCAGCACACACTGAGCCACCACTGCCAGGTCCCAGAGCCTCCCTGTCCCCGCACAGGGAGAGGGGACCACAGTGACTGCTGCCCTCAGGGATGTGCCCATCGTGGGTTTAGGTTCCACAGAGGGTCTGGCAGTGGCAGGGGAAGCTGCAGGAGCAGTGGCACAGGTGAGCACAGGTGGGCACAGCGTGTTCCTCCTCACACCTACAAACCACAGAGGGGGCTCCCCCATCGCTGCACCCCTGCCAATCCTCTCACCCTCGTGCCAGGCCGCAAGTGGCCCTCACAGAGCAAGACAAAGCCAAGAGCAGCCTAGCTGGATCGGGGTGTTCTGCACCCCCCTGTGTTAGCACAGATTGCTGAGTGTGGCTCCCAGGGGCCCTGCTTGTCCAGAAATATTCCACTGTGCTACCTCGTCCCATTCTCGTTTTCCCACGCCCTCTGTCTTAATCCAAGGGTAAGATCAGTGTCTAATTAGCCACATAAATTGCTGTTTACTGCTCTGGAATTTACTGTAAATGTTTTTGAAAGAAGAGCTGATCGACTGAAGCAGCCCATCCTGCGGCTACCAAGTCATTAAAAGTGAGGGAGTTTCATCATTATAAAACAAATAATGAAAACCAAATCCCCCCAAAAATTCTGCACAGAACAAAAAATTTCCATGTTGGAATTCCCACTTTGGTTCCCAGTTTAATACCACAACCCCTTCCCAGGTTGTACCTGCTTTGGATTTCCTCCTCCTGTGGGGATATCCCACTTGTTCCTCCTCCCGCTCCGTCAGGTATTCCCCTGTCTGGTACTTCCGACTTTTCTGCCGTCTCCTTTTCTTCCTTTTGATGTGGCCCTCTTCCTCCTCCTCCTCCTCCTCGTTGGGCTCCCACAGCTGCCTGGGTGATTCTGCTCTCCAGGGCAGCTCCCGGGTCCTCCTCGTGTGACAGCTGCTCCTCTCAGACACAGACCTGTCCCTGTCCCTGTCCCTGCGGCTGTGGCAGCGGGATGTCCTGTGGGATTTGCGCAGCTTGCGATGTTTCAAGGATGTCTCCTCCTCCTCCTCCTCTTCCTCCTCCTCTTCCTCCTCCTCCTCTTCTTCCTGATCCTCCTCTAGCAATGGTGAAGTCTCCTGACCACTCACATCACACTCTCCCGTCACACCAGCAGAAGAGCCAGCATTGCTTCCTGCAAAAAAGTGGCATTTCTAGCTGACAAAAAAGCCAAGAGGACCCACAAGGCAGAGCCTCAAAGCAGGACAAAATGCAGGGACAAGGTGAAAAGGGAATGCTCCCAGTGCCACCAGACTGCCACAGGGAGCCTGGGCACCAGCTCACCCGACTGACTGCGTGTCCGGCTGCTCAGCACCACCGGGATGAAATCCCGGAAATTGTTCTTGGGCTTCTTCTCCAAGTACCCTGTGAGGAAAACCGAGCCTTGAGAAAACAGATCACACACCTGTGACGTGGGAAGGGCAGTGCAGGCGTGCTGCCATGGCCCAAGGGGGATGGCTTTAAACGAATGGAGGTTGGTTTAGACTGGACACAGGGAAGAAGTTTTTGAACATGAGGATGCTGAAACACTGGCACAGGTTCTCCAGAGAAGTGGAGGATACACCATCCCTGGAAACATCCAAGGCCAGGCTCGACTAGGAGCAATCTGGTCTAGCGGAAGGTGCCCCTGTCCATGGCAGCAGGGTGGAACAAGATAAGCTTTAAGGTTCCTCCCAACCTCCTCCATTCTGGGAATCTGATCATGCTGCAGCTGTGTTTTGGATCCCAACCCAACTCCGGGGGCCATTTGGCCATTTTGGGCCATTTGGAGAGCAGCAGGTTGGCCCCTAGGGCAGCCTGACCCCGCAGGAACCCGCTGCCATTCCCAGGAGTACCTTCCTCGTGGCTGTCTCCACGGTGAGCCGGAGATGGGCACTCGGTCTTCGCTGGCCTCCGACGCTTGCGCTTTACCCTGAGGCTGTTGTGATCCGTGATGGCACCCAGGCTGCCCCGGCCTTCCCGGCCTTCCTGCTTGCCAAGCTCACGTGGATTGTCGTGGTGTTTTTGCCACTGTGAAGGGAGGACATGGGCTGAAGCTGGAGCTTCCCACTGGCTGAGCTGGAGCAGCACAAAAAGGACAAAACTCCATCTCCACTGATTATGCTGGCGCCCTCCAGCTTTTTTTGATGCTCCAGATACGTTTTTGCCCTGGACAACCTGCAGCACAGCCAGGCAATGCCCAGGAGCACAGGTAGAAAGCCCTGTGCCCTCAGCTGTCCCCTCTGGAGAGCTCCCTCCTCTCCCCCAGCCCCTGACCCAGGGGTCCCAGCCCATCCCACCCCACGCACCTTCCGGCCATGCACGCTCCGGCTTCCCGACTTGCTTGGGGACTCCTCGCTGTCCTGGCCTTGGCACTTCAGTCTCTTGTGGCTCTGCCTGGTGTCCCCGTCATGCTGCCGCTTGGCCTTGCAGCGTGTGCCACCCTCCTGCTTGATCTGCCCCGTTCCTTTGAGCTTGGCCTCGGGGAAGGCCTGGGGAGCCGCCCCTGCCCGCAGGCAGGTCACCGAGGGGAAGGACACATCACACTCCACTCGCTCCTTCTTGACCCTGCACAGATCCACCTGCTGCACACACGGGAGGGGCTCCGTGGCCGGGGGCTCCTGGGAGCCCTCGCAGCCCGGCTCCTTGCGCTGCCCATCCGCGGGCACCTCGGGCACCATCCGCAGGCCCTGCTGCCCAGCCGCCGGCAGCTCGTGTGACAAATACGCTGCTAACACTTGGTTTTTGGGTTTTGCATCCAACTGTTTGAGGCTACAGCTCCCCTGGGGAGCCTCAGTCTGTGCGTTGCTCTCCTGACCGGAGTCAGCCTCTGGCTGAGTGCACTCCTGACTCTTCGGAGCGTTGTCCAGCTTCCCCTTCCCCCCTTTCCCATCCAGAGCGCTGGTCTGGAGAGCTGGACCTGCCTCCAGAGGTGCTGGGTTGGCCGGCTCCTCGCAGGGCTTGGGCAAGGCCCGGCAGCTCTTGCTCTTGGCCGCAGCATCCAGTTCCTGAGGCGGGAGCCGGGGCAGCCCCTCGGGCAGGCCCTGGGCGGCCGCGCTGGGCTCGGCGGGCTGCGCGCTCGGGAACGCCGGCAGCTCGCCCGCCCCGGCCGGCTTGCAGGGGCTGCTCTGGGGCAGGGGCAGCTGTCCTGCCGTGGAGATACCGATGGAGAGCAGCGGGGTTTGATGGTACGGAGACCAGCCCAGAGGCAGGAGTTGAGGATTGGAAGGTTTCCCATTGACGGGGCATCGCGGGTACACACTTCCCTGGACAGGATTCCAGGTGGCGATGTCCTTGGACTGACACAAAGGCGCTCCTGGAGCAACTCTGCCGTGAAGAAGTCTCCTGGCAGGATCCTGCTGTCCTTCCGTGCCAACCTGGTTGGCTTTCTTCCCGCAGGGAACGCCGGCGGTGCGGGGCTCGCCCTGGTCGATGATGGAGATGGGCTCCTGCTTGGGCAGGTGGCGCGGGTCCCTGCTGAGGCTCACGCCCGCATCCTTGCTGAGCAGCAGCGAGGCCGGCACCGGGTTGGCCACGCCGACATAAGTGCCGGGGATGGTGCTGATGAGCGTGGTGTTCTTCACCCAGGAGCCCTGCTCGCCGTTGCGCAGGAACTCGGGGAAGATGACCAAGGGCGGGGTGGTGCCGAGGCACGAGGTGACGCTGCTGCCCGTGGCCTGCGCCGCACGCTGCGACTTGGAGAGGACGGTGGTGAGCAGCGCTTTGCCGCTGGTGTGCACGGGGGTGAGGATGGGCATGGGAGGGGTCTTGCGCTGGCTGGGCGGAGGCAGTTTCTGGCGGTTGGACTTGGAGGAGAGATCAAGAGGCATCTCACTGCACTCCGGGGATGAGACCATCTCACGCTCTAGCTGGGGAGGAGACTTCAGGGGAGACAGGGAAGTGGCAGCCCCCGGTGCATGTGGCTCGGGAGCTGCCGGGGCTCGGGGCTGCACGGCGGTGCCAGAGGAGGGAGCAGCGCTCGCAGCTGGGGCTGGCGCTGCCGGCAGAGCCTGGCTGGAGGGCAGGGCCAGGCCGGTGCTGGGCAGGGGAGCGCTCTCAGCCGCAGCCTGGGCACTGCTTCCGCCCGAGGGCGGGGGGCAGCTGAGCTGATTCACCTCCACAGACACCACTTTGGCATCCGAAGCCAAGGGCCTGGTGACAGAGAAGGTGTAGGGGTAGGAACGCAGCTCCGGGGACGCGATGATGCCCGGTAGGCAACGCTCGTGCAGGTAGGAAGGCAGGACGGGGAGGGTGAGCGTGGAGGAGACCCCCAGGGTGGCCGGGAGCGTGGCCACGCTGAGCGGCTGCCCGCAGCTGGGCGGGGGGATGTACACCAGCGACTGGCTCGGGCTCAGCACAGCCCCAGCCTGGAAGGACAGGGGCAGCTTTTGCATAGCAGGGGCCTGAGAGGCGGGAAAGCAAACCCTGTTCAGTGTGAAGGTGGCGGGAGTGGAGGCAGAGGTGTTGCAGCTGGAGACAACCACAGACAATGTCCCTTCTGCCAGCACGCCTGGCCCTTGTGCTGCAGTGCTCGGGGGGGCCTTCTCGTTCCCAGCCTCACTCTGTGGAGCCACGGAGCAGGCTGGGGCAGCATCAGCCTGCTTGTCGCTGGGAGGGTCTGCTGGTGTCCAGGCAGCATCAGCACCGCTGCTCTCCTGCTCCACTGCTCTGGGGGTCGCTGGCTCCTGCCCTCTGCCATCCCCCTGAACTGCCAGAGGGCCCAGGGTGTCATCTGTCACAGTCTTTCCCACACACTCCAGGTTTGGGTTGGGATCGGGTGGCTGCTCCTCCAGTTTGGGTCCAAGCTTTTCCTCCACCTTGCCATCAGCATCCAGCCCCTGGGCACTGCTGCCACCACCGCTGACTGCCGTGAGCTCCACCTGCAGCAAGAAGGGAGAAGCTGTTCCTGGGAGCTGAGCAAGTGGCACCCAGGGAAGCAGGAAGGATCTGCCCACCCCGGACACAGAGGCAAAATCAGCAAACAGTTCTGCCCAAAGGAGAGCACGGCTCTGCCTCACTGCATCCCTCTCAAGAAGGAGTCCATGAATCCATTAGGGAAAACATTCCTGCTTGGCCTATTCTATGAGGGAATGGCCTTCTTGGACCCAGCTGTGCAGGCAAAGAACTCACCTCGGAAAGGCTGCTGCTGACACAAAACTCTTGAGACCCCAAGTGCTGGGAGCTGCTCGTTTTTGACTCCTCATCAGAAATGGGGGCTCTCCTAGGTGAGGAAGAAGACACAGCATTACAAAACCCCAAGCCGGGACCCTGCTCGGGGCTGTTCCCGTGCCATCCTCACCGACCTCCGGGTCACTGACACCCGGCCGGTCCCTGCAGGGTTCTCGAGGCTGCCCGGCCCGCCCGTCACAGGCCGCGGGGCGGGGTGAGAGCCCCGGGGCAGGCGGGGATCCCGGGGGGTCCCGGGGGCCGGAGCGGAGCGGGGCCGGGGCCGAGCGCCAGGGGGAGCCCGAGCGCAGCCGCCCGCCCGCGGGGCCCGCCCGGGCCGGCGCTCCCGGCGCTTCCCGGGCATTACCGGCGCTTCCCGGGCATTACCGGCGCTTCCCGAGCATTACCGGCGCTTCCCGGGCATTACTGGCCATTCCCAGCCCGCAGCTCGCCCGCCGGGACCCCCCTGCCCAGCTTCGCTCGGCTGCCCCGGAGCAGCCCCGAGGCCGGTGCGTGGTGCCCGCCCGGCCCTGCCCGCGCTCCTCCCGGAGCTCCTCCCGGAGCAAGGAATGAGAGGGGATCGGGGATGAAAGAGCCGAGGGTCGCAGCCCCCCGCCCAGCCCGGACATCTCCAAATTTGACGCCTGTTGTAAGGTCGGAGCAGCGCCGAGAGGCTCTGCGGGTTTGGCCACGGCAGCCCTTATCTGCGGGACACAGGGCTCCCGGCGGGGCTGCGGGCTCCAGATCAGCTCTGCCCGAGCCAGACCTGCGGCTCGTCCCTGCCCACCGCTGCTGCCCCGGGCTCGGGGGATGCCTGCCAAAACCCTCGGCACCCGCGGCCAGCAATGACAGCCACGCGTTGCCTCTGTGAACATAAAACTTCCCCGGCTTTGGCAAATGCATGGAACGGACGCGGTGGCCTTGAGGAAGCCACAAACTAGTCGGTTCTGAGAATGAGACGCCTGAGCCACGGGAATGAACAGGCGATGCAAAGCCACAGAGCTTGGCTTCATCGATCCTACCTCCCAGCCACTAATCCTCCCTAATCTCCTGTTTGGTGGCAAGTCACAACCCTCCCCATCTGATCATTTGGTTGGCACAAACCCTCCTGGGTCACCAAAAGCTTTTAGTTCAAGCTCTTTCCCTTCCTTGGCCATTGAGAACACAGGTCTAAGTGAGGCCAATGGCACGAGCAGACAACTTGGCCTTGTCAGTATCAAAGCTGTGGAGGCAACGTAACCACACACAGGGGCAAGAGATCCTCTGCGAGACCTCCAGCACTCTCCTGACTGCAGCAGGGCCTGTGGGAACCCCCCGGAATGCCAACACATCCAATACATCCAACCCCTCCCTGCGGCTCATTGGCACTTCAGGCCATTTTAGACCCCAGTAAGAAGGGTTGAGTCAGCACCAGCTCTCTTCCCACGGATCCCTAAGTGGGATTTCTCGTGCCTCCTTTCCCTGCTCGCCACCCACGCACCTCACCTCTCCTCGTTGAGGCCACACATGCGAATCCGCTCTGTGCTGGTCCAGTTGTGCACCCCGCTGTACAGAGGTGCTGTAGAGATCATGACAGCTGCTCCTCACCCTCCAGGACCTGCCGGGGCTCCAGGGACCACTCTGCCTGCAAAAGAGAAGCAGACGGTTGGGAACTCTCCTTGGGATGATCCATTCAACCGCCCTTTTGGAAAACTCATCCCCAGCTTTGCTGCCAGGCAGATGGGGAACAACGCCCCGGGATGCCACAGGGCTGGAAGAGGGCTAGGAGGAATCAGCAGTGCCTTTGGACGGAATCCACCGTCCACTCATCCTCTCATTAAACAGTGTTACTGCCAAAAAGCCGCTGGCTACCACGAGAGGTTCACACAAGTGTCTTTGCACACTCACACATCCTTTGAAACATTCCCCCCACTTTTCTTCTCCAGCACCAGAAGACGCCAAGCAGAGCTGTACAAGGTGATGGTCTTTTCCAGCACTGAAACTTCAAGGCTGCACAGGACTCTCCTAAAGCAGCCCATGGCAGGTCCTAGGGGCAAAGCCTCAAACAAGGAGGGTCTGTCCTCAGCTGAGGGCTCCTGGAGGGAGCAGGGGTTTGCCAGTGGTGGTGCTGAGGTTTTATCCCCTCCTCCTGTGAGGAAGGTGCTGTTTTTCTTTGGAGTTATGGGTGGAAAACACGAGGGAATCCAGAGACTGAGGAGCATCCATGAGGCAGTGTCGGCTGGGTGGAGCTTTCAGGGGAGAGCGCTGCAGCCAATCGTGCAGCGCTGGGTGTTGGAGCATTGAGAAGCTCTGCTGCTCCAGGGAAAAGGCAGAGGAGGAAGAGAGGATCTCCTGTGCTAACAAGTGGACTCAGCCAAACCTAGCAGGACTGACTGCAAAAGGCAGAGAGATGCTGTCAAGGAGGTTCAGGGAAATACTAAGCCCTGAAGGGTAAAGCAGGCACAGAGCCACGGCAACGCTGTCGGTGCAGCGGTGGGAGTGGGAATTAGCTGGAAGCAGCACGTGATCCCCAATCTCTGCCGGCTGTCTTTGCCCTGACAAACTCCTGGCGACACCAGCTCTGCACGGGACGAGCAGCAGCTTGTGCCATGGCAGGAGCCACGCAGGGACCCGCCGGCCACCAGCTCACGGTGGCCACGGGGCTGAGCGGCTCCTCAGCTGCTGCCGGGTGTCCCCGCTGCAGCCCCAGCGTGCCGGTGGGGATCCGAGGAGGAGGAGGAGGAGGAGGAAAAAGGGGCCAGGCGCTCGGGAGAAACGGGGGCAAGGCAGCTGGTGTGCCAAAGAGAAAGCGACGGACCCATCTGCACGTACGAGGGCACGAGTGAGCAAACAGTGTACGGAAATCGGAGGTCAGGGGAAGAGGGGAAACCTGCTAAAAACACGCACTGAGAGACGGGAGAAATGCTCAGCAGCGATGGGGGGAGACGGGCAGACGCCGAGGCAGAGAGCAGGGTCATACCCAAAGAGAACGAGGTGGCTTGGAGCAGGAAGGGGAGGAGTCTTTCGATGCTTGGAGAGAAATGCAACATAAAGGAAATAGGGGAACAAACAATCTGCGGGGATTTCACCATCTTAGGCTAAACTGAAAGAAGGGGAGGAGGAAGGTTCTGCCCCCGAGCACAGCGGCAGGACAGATGTTCCAGGAGGAATCCAAAGGGACCTGCTGTGCCACGGGGGAAGGGGATGCGTGTGGCTGCACGACGTGGAGCTGGGGACGGGCAGAGATCAGGCGTGACCCCGGAATAGGTCTGGCAAGGAAGGAGTGATAACGGGGTGCTACGAGGAGCTGGAAGAAAGAGCACGTTTGGAGTAAGGGCTGGTCAAAAGAGCCGGAACGACGGCCACAAGGAGAGAGCTGGGAGGACACAGTGACAGAGATCAACTCTGTTCCGTGGATTCTTGGCCTCTATCCTCTACCAGACCAAGTGGGACACATGCCAGAGACAGGCATTTCACAGAGAACGAAGAACAGAAAAGAAAAAGACTCCAGATATGAACTCGGAGAAGGAATAAAACAGGGGCCAAGCACCAGACGCGGGTTCAAGCACAAACCAGTGGAGCAACAGCATCCTTAAAAAGGCAGACCAGGAAGTTTATTGGGAAATGCAGGGATGAGCAGCCTCCCCGTGCACCACTGAACCAGAGAGAGCAACTGCAGCCTGCCTGGGTCAGAACACTGCTAGCCCCGTCAGAAAGTGAGCACATCTCCCATCTACACTGGTGCAGCTGGAAGCGACATTAAAGGGATGTAATTAAACTCGTAGGAAACCCTTGGAGAACACAACTAGGGCATGGCTTCACATGCCTGTCTTCGAGCAGAAGAAGCTGTTGAGAAACTGTTGAAGCCCTTCTCTCCCCTCACCCCTTCAGTCACACCACTGAAGCCCTGCAGTATCCCAGTAAACCTGACTAGGGAGTTGATCTCTGTTTAAAACACTTTTTCTTTTTTTCTTCTTTATTTTTTTTTTCCTGGCTGGACTGGTTTTAACCTATACCAGCTCCTAGATCAGCTTCACCAAGAGGGAGAGAGGGCAGAGCCTGGCACAGACTCTACTTAATCCACAACGTCTGCCAAAGGAAGTGTATATGAAACCACAGTCTTATTTTGATTTAGCTAAATAGGTGCTCAGCCAATTCTAATTAACGCCAAAGAAAACGAGTTTAGAATGAAGTAAGAACATCGAGGCATTCTGTGTGGGGAAGCTCATACAGTATTGAAGCACCTTCACCTCCCTAAACAAAACGTGCCCTAAGAACTGTGAGCAAGGAAGGTGCTGAACACACTCGCCTCCAACGACAAGCCCTCCCAGAGGTTTGCAATGAAACTACTACGGCAAATTAAAAGAAAAGGGGATTTTGTTCATTAAGGCAACACATCTCATCGTTTCGCAAAAGGAAACGATGCTACTCTGCAAACCCGCCTCTTCCAGGCTCCAGGAAAAGCAAAGCAGATGTTTTCCTTGCAGTGAAAGCGTGCTTTTACTCAGGTTAGTGATGACTTGGCTACCCATGGAAGCTCCCTTGGATTAAGTCAAGAAATTACTCTTCTAAAATATTGCTGTACAGTGATGGAAGCAAGTTTCCTGAGATGAAGTTCTTCAGGAATGGACATTTTAAAACCATTATCTCATTATAGACAACTCCTCCTTGCAATGGAAACCCAACAGCCCCGAGACAACCATTATTCCATGAGCAAGGGTTCCAGGACAGGCTCCCCCAGCACTCACCTGCCAGCTCCCACTGCTGACAAGAACTAAGCCCATGCTATCTCCACACTGACCCCTGTAAAACCCTGCCTGTTCCCAGGCTCTTGGGGATCCCAGCCTGAAGCGAGGCTGCCTGATTGCTTCCCACAGCCCCTCACAGTCACACCTCCCACCCCAGCATTGATGCAGCAAAGGGGATGCAGAGGAGATTCTGAACCCACCCTGCTGCAAGCCACCCTCTTGTTCCAGTACAGCGATGCCTTGGCCCCATCAGGTCCCCGACCTGACAACTCTCAGCTCCTCGAGCTTGCACGGGCAAACCCTTAAAACGACTCCTCAGGCTGGCACCCACCTGCCAGTCACAGACAGCCAAGGGTTTGCTTCTCGCTGGGGAGTTTGGTGCTGTTGGTGTTTGCCCTCACAGATGTCACAACTCCATTGCCACCTGGCCTAACTCACTTTGATCAGACTACCCAGAGCCATGACCTCCTACAGCGTCCACCTGTGCTGGAGCCAGGCCTACCAGTGTGGGAAGGGGGCTTTTCCCAGCTCCTCCCAGAATCAGCCTGTGCCAATCACCTCTCCATGGTGCAAACACATCCCTGTGTAGGACCATGCTGCCTTGATCCCACTCAAAGGCTTTCCATGTATTTTCCTGCTCTGTGAATTTCCAAGTACTAAAACCGCTCAGATTTCAAGGTGCTAACTCTTCCTCTCCTGCACGCCAGCCCCAGCACACGAGCTACACACCAAGAGATGGAAAGTGTCCTGCTGCACCCTGCCTGGACAGGTGGGAGCTCACCGGTCCTGAAACACCAGCAGCCAGTCTTCTCAAGCCCCCCAGCACCAGGATTCTCTCTGCCTGCTCTGGGCAGGCACAACATCCTAACACAGGTGGGAGAGCACCAAGCAAAGAGACAACGGGAGCTCAGACAACGGCACGAGTTCACCCAGGGAGAGCATCAGCTTTGCCTTTCCCCCTGCATGAGTGGCAGCCACAGCATGAGCTGACTCCAGGAATGCCAGCGTGGGTCACTTGGTGCAGCCCAGCTGCTCCAGAGCCTTTATGGACACAGCAAACGCTGCCCAGAGCTGGTGCCTCCATCCATGCTGGCACTGAGCGGGCCAGCGGCACAGAGGAAGGAAAAAGGAATTCTCAGCCCTAGGGGATGGAACAGAGAAACGCTGCCACATCCCTCGGCAGCAGGAGATGGGGAGGATGCCGTGGTTGCCCTCCCATAGCAGCGTGTGGCTCCTGTGGCCAGGGGACACTGCGGAAGGCCGGGAGCAATGCACTTTGACCCTGGAAACACACCCGCGGGAGACACCTTTGAAACATTCATTCCCAGAGCAGCAAAACCTCTCAGGAAGGGGATTTTATCCCCTGGATGGCTACAAAATATAAAACAAGGTCAACTGCTGGAAACTCGGGTGGGATTCAGCGCTCAGAGCACAGCTGGCCAGTGTGCCAGGAGCGGGAGCAGCGGAATGGGGCGGGATGTGCCCTGCAGCTCCTCCCGGGGCTCAGGTGAGCCACAAGGGAACGCTCTGCAGCCACAGGCAGGTCTCCTTCCCTTGCCATAGTTTGTTCACTTTGGCAATTCTTTGTTGCCATTAGTAACGCAGGCAAGGAATTCTATTTGTTTTGATATGTGATGGTCTGGTGTCCATTGGAGGTGCAGAGGGCCGGAGCGAGCGGCGATCCCGAGACCTGCCCCCAGCACCCCGGCTCCGAGCACCACTTTGGAAAACCCGGCTGAGCAAACTGCCGGCAAAAAATTAAAAATGAAATCAAAAATAAAATCAAAAAACCTACGACTGCCCTATCACAGGACTGGCAGTGGGCACGATAGGCAACGAGGGAAAAATTTAAACAAGAAAACTGGAAAAAAAAGAGAACAGTCTATCTTACGTTATG